TGAATGGATATAGAAAGTTCATAGATATACACAATGGAGAAGTATCAATGAGATCCTATCATTTACAGGAAAATGGACAGAACTGGAGGGCCATGTGTCAAGCAAAACACATAATATTTCTCTGAATGGCTTAATTTTACCCAAAATATGTAAGATTTTGTCTAGTAAAATAACGCTGAGGCTGCTATATGTTGTTGTTGCAAATAGAACTTCCTTATTTTGAAGGACAAATAAAACTCATATATTATACAGACATACCCAGAATCAACTCTTGTTGAACATACAGGTAAATTACATAACTTGGCTACTGAAAAATAATGCTTCTGTGAACAGACTACAGACAGCCCATGGTCACATCATACACCTTCTAGATCTATAATCAGAAGCTGGATTGTTCAATTATACAGTAATTCTACTTTTAATTTTTCTAGGGAGCTTGTATACAGTTCTAACTACTGCATATTAATCTACATTTCTACCAACAGTGTACAACTCTTACATTTTCCCCAAGAGCTATTCTGACAAATGGAAGGGGCTATCTCATTTGGGCATAAATTTGCATTGCTGTAATGATTAGTGATGTTGAGCATCTTTTCATACACCTATGGCCCATTTCTATATTTTCTTTTATGTCTATTAAGGCTGGGTATAGAGATGTGCACCTATAATCCTACTTACTGGGGAGCCTGAGGAGCCTGGTCAACATAGTGAGACCTTCATCTCGAAAAATGAATACATACAAAATTAAAAGAAAACCCATCTCAATTCAAATGGACTGCGAATATAGCTAGTGAAAGAGTATAAGCCCAGACAGGCCCTGGGTTTGAACTCAGCACTAGAAAACAAACAAACAAAACTCAGGCTGGTCCTTATTTGTAACTGGGATGTTTTCATGCTGTGTTATTTCAGGTTCTTACATATTTGGGGGATTAATTCTACTGAATATACAGTTTGGAAATATTTTCTCCAAACTCAGAGGCTGCCTTTTCACTGTGTGGTTTCTTCTGATGTATTGAAGCCTTTCCTTTGAGAAAATCTCAGTTTTCTAATTTTGCTTTTGCTGACTTTAGGGATCCAATAAAAAACAATGCATTGCTAAGACCAGTATGTATTACTCCTGCTTTCTAATAGTTTTACATTGTCAGATCTTATATTTAAGTCTCTAGTTGATATTTTTTCAGGCAGGGTTTTCTACATTGCCCAGGCTGGTTTTATACTTAGGAACTCAAGTGATGCTTCTGTCTTAATTTCCTAAGAAGCTGGGACTATAGGCACAGGCCACTACATCTGGCTCATTGTGCACTGGCTTTGTCTGTAGAGTGTAAGACAAAAGTTCAATTTCATTCTTCTACCTATGAATAACAAGGTTTTCTGGTAGCACTGATTGTAAAAGTATTCCTCCATTTTATGTTCTTGGCACCTGTCGTCTGTCTACTATAGGAAAATATCAGGGGCTGGGGTTTCAGATCAGATGTTCCCAGCACCCAGAAGAAAAAAACAAACAAAAAAGCAAAGGCAAAAGGAGGAAGAAGAAAGAAGAAAATATTCAATGCTGAGTAATGAAAATAAGTTCATTTAGGTCACAACACTGAGGCTCTTCTCAGTCAGTCCTTGAAGGGGTGCTGGGGTGGCGTGGGGAGAGGCTTAAAGTATACATAGCAAGATGGTGGAAATCAGTATGAAGAGGTCATGTGCTGGGATAGAGGAACAGAGAAGGATGCTAGGGTTAGCCTGATTCTTCTATAAGAACCCTCTCACAGAAACTAGCTCACTGCACTGAGTTCAGCATGCATCCTTTCTGAGGGAGGCACATCCAGTCACCTAAGTACTTCCAGCCCAACTCACTTCTTCAAAGTTCTACCTCAATGAGGCATGGAGGCCCACACTTTGAATCCCAGCATTTGGCAGGCTGAAGTAGGAGGATTCAGAGTTCAAGGTCAGTCAGGTCTCCCTACTGAAACCCTGTCACTCCTACCCCACAAAGAGAAAGTTCCTCCATGTTTCAAATTGCCACAGGAAGCCAAGCATCTCACTACGAACCTTTTTGAGATAAACTCAAACAATATCCAAATCACAGCACCTCTGTCAAAAATTAACTGTACATTAAATAGATGTGGTGGCATGCATTTAATCCTAGTTCTTAGATGGCTGAGGCAGGAGGCTCATCATGGCCAGCCTGGGCTACATAGTGAGTTTCAGATCAGGTTGTGCTAAAGAGTGAGACCCTGTCTCCAATAGAAAAACACAAGATTTAAAAAAAAAAATTAACTATACCCTAGCACCACTGGAAGGTGAAGGCTAAATTTTCATGCTTCTAAAGACTTTCATTTTCCAGGAAAACCTTGCACTCATAGGGTCTTCTAGATACTACGTACAATGGCACAGCTTCCACTATAAACTCTTACCTGCACTCATGCGTCTGGCTCTTGTCTGTCCTCTCAGTTTTCTGCTTATTTTCACCTCCCTCTCCACAGTCCAGGGTTCTTTCAGTTGTTCCAACATGGATATAACATTCAGGTTAGGAAGAATGACTCCTGTTTATAAAAACAAAGGACCACCATGTGCAATGGGTTTTTAGAAAAGCCCAGTCCTATGCTTATATGAAGAGAGGCTATCATAGATGGATATAGGAAAATATTTACAGATTTGTCACTGACTGTCTCCTTTTGGAAACAATGTACAGACATCTAGTTCCCTCTTAAGAATTGCTGAATCAAAAGCTTAGCAAAAGAAAATAAGGAATTATTTTAAAAAGTGGGTATTTTTAAAGTGTGCCATGAGTCAGGTGTAGTGGCATATGCCTCTAATTCCATTACCTGGGAGATGGAGTTAGGAATAGCTCACATTTGAGGCTACAGAAGCTATATAACTCAGAAACAACAACAACAAAATAATAAAACTACTATAATGGTCAGGAACATAGCCCAGTGGTAGTGTGCTTGCCTGGCATGTACAAAAACACAGATTCTATTCCCAGTACAGATGGGGAGGGGAGGAGAAGGGAGAGAGAAATGAAGACAGCATGGCTCCCCAGAGGCATGGAAGGAAAAGCACAGATACACAGCACAGATCCCAACTATTGGAGGAAGTCATCCTCACCCAGGGAGACCAAGTTTCTGTAGTTCTCTAACATCACATCCCTGTGCAAAGCTCTCTGATCAGGATCCAGGCATTCCCACTCCTCCTGTGAGAACTCTATGGCCACATCTCTGAATGTCAACTGGCCCTAGAAGGAAACAAACACATTTCACCATGAGGACAGTGAGGATCTTTACAGAGAAGTGAGGAGGGGATAGAACTCAAAGAACAGCCATGCTCATGCTGTGGAACTGAAATATGTATTTGGTCTTCATCTAGTTTCCGCACTTGAAAGTCACTTGACTTCTCCAGAGTGATAAGGATGGATTGTGTACTAAGATGATGGAGAACAGAGGTCCTGAAATAGCTTCAGGAAGGCAGGATGAGAGGGCGGGAACTTTTAGTCTCACTACCCATCCTCCAGTGAGGAGAGAAGAACTAAAGGTTCAGGTGAACACCAATGGCCAACAACATTAGCAACCATACCTGAGTAACAAAACATCCACAAAACCTCAAAAGGACAGTTTAAAGTTCCTCTCTGACATCAGTGTGGGCAATCCTACAGTGCGGCTCACCCAAGGAGGGAGTAAAAGCCCCAGTCCCTCTCCTAGACTTCACCTTGGGCATCTCCTCCATCCAGCTGTTCATAGCCTTTGGAATGTCCTTTATAATAAACAGGGAAGAGTGAGTAGTGTTTCCCTTGGTTTTATGAGCTGTTCTAGCAAATGAGTCATAAAACCTGGAGAGGGAGTTGTACAAGCGTCTGCCACTCAGCCACATGTGATGTGAGGTCCACACTCTGTGGACCTGAGTCTAGCACCAGGCACCTAGTGTCAGAATGCAACTGAAGCACAGCGTGGTGCACACTGCAAAAGTACTTACTTGGTATATGGAGAGAACCCTATACATCTGGGTCTCTAAAGCTTGCTATATGGTGAGTACACAGAAGAGAACTAAGTTGCTCATGTATTTCCAGAAGTTAAGGTGTTTCCAAGCAACACCACACCTCTCTAATTAAAGCTTTTCTGTAGGTGTTGCTGGTGCTTCTCACTTTGGTGGACAAGAAACACACAGACAAAAGCCAGCACAGGGCCTGCTCTCCTTTCCCGTTCTGTTACCTTCCCTTCCCATTAGGCTCCCTCTATTCTTCCAAGCCTTCTCTTTCCACTCTTTTCCCAGGCCTCCTAACCACCACCTGGCTCCTATCCCATAAAAGAAAAACAAAACAAAACAAACAACAAACACTCCCCCCCTCAAAAGCCACAACAGAAGCATTAGATACTGTGTTTTATGAACCAAGTGACAGGCATTAATCTATGAGATGAGCTACAACATCAGGGGTATCTTCCAAGATGAAGCCACAGAGCTTTAAAAAAGCACTCAGCTGGGTACAATGGCACATGCTTGAAACCCTAGCACATGGGAGTCTGAGGCAAAAGACTAAACAAGAGTTCAAGGATAGCCTCTGCTACACAGTGGATTTAAGGCAGCGTGGGCTGCATAGTGACACCTGGTCTCAAAGCAAAAAAGCAAAAAGAGAAAAGTCAGCATTTCTAAACGGGGTTGACAGTAACAGCAATGATTAAAGCTCACAAAGACTTCAAATACTGGGTACTCCAGCACCACAGTTATGAAAGTCCTACAGCAAGGTAGCAGCCCAGGGGAGAGAGACTTGTATTCACTTCCAGAGGCAAAGACTGCACCACCCACTGAGGAAAATGCTGAGTAAGGAACTAAACACAGGAAAGAAGCACCTGACCATGTCTGAGAACTGGATTTGACCCTGAGAAGCCACAATTAAGTTACACTGCCTCAAAAGCAAATTGGCAGATCAGGTAGATGAGGAAGCTGAAGCAATTCAAAGAAAGAACTTGGAACTTCAAAAAATGGTCACTATCCCCCTCATCCCCTGCTACACAAATATATAAAATAATAAAGGCTGCCTATTTATGTGCACACACAGGCAGACACACGATACATAACTGTGCTTATCAGTGTCAAGGTAATATGATAGCACACATCAAAGTTAAGATCACTGAAAATAAGATATACTTCTTGGTAACAATGTAAAATCACTCTTGATAGACAGCATGTGCTTGAGCATCTACACATGCATGACATATACCACTCACACCAAACCCAGAAAAATGAGCTGCTGTCTCAATCATGTGGCTCTAATGGCATCTTTCATCCCCATTTTTTCTCATATGCATCTCAGCATGTTTGGGACAATAAAATGCATAAGTCTAAAATATCCACATTAAAACCTAAAACTTTAATGTTAGATATTTAAATTTAGACATTAGGCAATAATAAAAAAAAGTTTTCACATTTATTTTACTAGAAAAACCAAAGCTTAACATTTGGAAATTTTATAGTTTTATGTATCAATTTAACGAACTAATATAAAGTATAATATACTTTTTAAAACTACCACATAATTAATAATAAGGGCAAAAGTAAATGTGAGGGGGCTGAAGAGATGGCTCAGTGGTTAAGAGCACCAGCTGCCCTTGCAGAGGACTCAAGAGTTGATTTCCAGCACCTGTGTGGCTGCTAACAACAGTCTGTAACTCCAGTTCCAGGGGCATCCAATGCCCTCTTCTGACCTCTGCAGGCAGTGCACAAAATGGGTGCACTTAACATGCATGCAGGCAATACACTCAAACACATAAAATAAAAATAGTAATATATAAATAAAAAGTAAAAAAAAAAAAAAAAAAACTTTAGAAAAGTAAGTATGAAAGCCAAGGGCAGTGGCACACCCTCTAATCCCAGCACCTGAGTCCAAAACAAGAGATTTGGAAGTTCAAGGCCAGCCTGAGATACAATAAGCCTCTAGCTCAAAACAAAACAAAACAGAAGTGGTAAAACACCATTTTTTAAACAACAACAACAAAAAATCTGGGGATATAGCAATGTACAATCTCTACTACCACCAAAAAAAAAAAAAAAAAAAAAAAGTGGGAAAACAAAACCAGAACAATTTATTAAACATCATGATCACCATTTCCTAAAAAAAGACCCCGCAAAAACAAAACTTGGGGGAGAGGTTACCCAGAGCTGCAGCCAAGCTCTACACAGCATGCTTGAGCAGGAAGCAGTGAGAGGGAAAGGATGAAAACACGGCAGGGGAGAGAACAGCACAGAACCAGACTGCTAAAACTAACAGAGGGTGCGGCTACAACACAGAAACAGGAAATACAGGAATGAGTGACAGAAAATTGTGCTTCTTCCTCAGTAGCCCTCATGAGATATATATACATAAACAAGGAGCATGCTTTTGGGAAATGCGCATAGCACTGAATTAAAAGACTTCAAGAATTCTGAAAAGGAACTATAAAGCTGCTGAAGTGATGTCTACAAGACAGAGGAATAGGAGCCAAAACCACCATCTCCCTGGGGGAGACAAGGATTTAATATGTGGACAGTTGAGAAATCTAAAATCTGTTAGAAAAGGCAAAATCTGAGATGCTGTGAGCATATGCTTAAGAGGGTAGACCCTGTTTCAAAAACAAAATCAAAACAAGCAAACAAACAAAAGACTTAAGGGATGGGGATTTATTTTGGTTCAAGGTTCAGGGTTCAGTTCACCATGGAGGGGAAGCCCAAAGCAGTGAGAGCTTGAGGCAGCTGGTCACATCCCCAGTCAAAAGAGAGCAAGGAAGTAAATGCAAACTAGTGTCCGCTCCCTCCACTTTATACAGCCATGACTCTTGGCCCATGGCATGCTCCTGCTCACAGTTAAGATAGATCCTCCCACAATCTAAGCCCCAAAGGCCATGTGCACAGGCCTGTCTCCCAGGTGAGTCTAGATTCTAGATTCTATCAAAATGCCTTTTCAGGGACCCCTGATAATACTGCATTCTGAATGGCATAAATGTAAGCACTGAAAACAATAGGACTGGGGGACCTCGCAGCAAACAACATAAGTCAATCCGTAGGGACCCAGGCTCAAGCTAGACCACAGCACTCTGAGGCAGCAGAAAGGCTACATAATTAGAGGCAGATAACGGGAGCATCTGAAGAGAAAAATGGCAAAAATCTTCAGTCAGAGCAGTATAATCAAAGGGCAGAACTTAGTAAAGGCTTGTTTTGCAAGCCAGGGACTTGAGTCTGATACCTAAAACTCAAGTTAAAAGTTAAACATAGTGGCAGTTGTAATCCCACGGCTGGGGAGGCAAAGTCAGATTAATTCCTGGGGCTCACTGGCAGGCCAGCCTAGTCTAATTGGTGAGTTCCAGGCCAAGGAAAGACTACCTCAAAAAGATAGTGGACAGTGCCTAAGCAAGAACACCTAAGTTGACCTCTACCTTCTATAAATGTGCACATGAATTCTCCTTCACCTCCACATAAACAGATCATAATCAAAGTGCAGAGAAGACACAGCTCCAGAAAAGGCTTCAGAGGTATCCAGGATCTCTTCCTGGGATGCCTAGAGGGTCCTTCTTAAAGAAAAACAGACAGAAAAACTGGGCAAGGTAACTGGTTTCCAAAATGCTGAAGTCAAAAAGAAGACACCAAAGAGAAAACCAAGATCCCCAGCACCCATGCAAAAGCTGAGCATATCTGTAACTCATGGCTGAGGTGGAGACAGGGGAATCCCTGGAGTCAGCCAACAAAACCAATCAGTGAACTCCAGGTTCAGTGAGACATAGTCTCAAAAAGTAAGGAGGTGAGCCACTGAGAAGAGTCTGATGTCAACCTCTGACCCACAAACATGTGCACTCATATGAGCACATACATTTACAACACACACAATGAGAACAGAAGCCTGGCATGTAGTATAATTCTAACACTCAGGAGGCCAGCCTAGGCTACAGAGATACTGTCTCTGGAAAAAAAAAAACAAAAACCCAAAAACTCCTTAGTGATGAAAGACAACACCCTCTACCAATACATCTATTCCATTTCCACTCCTTGAGATTCTGGAATCAGAAACACCAACTGACTTTATTACCTGCAATGTAATATATTAAGCAGAGCCTAATCATCTACAAAGGTCTCCTTCACCCCCATAAATTAGGAGGCATATGAACCCATTAACATGTGACTCCATGTGTGGATTCTTTTATCTATGTCTAGAGACCTAATAGTGCGCCCAAGCCTGTGATCCTTAAACGATCCTTCCTGCCCAACAATATGGAAACCCAGGGCCTTCAGTCTGGCTCAATCCCTGCCTTTTCAGGCACATACTCAATGGAATCTCCTCGTCATGGGGCCACTATGAGATGAAATCCGAACAGAGATGACAGGCTGAAGGAAGGCACGGTAAACACGGGTGAGAATGTCTAGTGGGAACCTATACTCAAAGCAGTCAGCAGCTCCCTTAGCAGCTCCCACACCCAGTACTTCAGGATGCAGGGAGGAACAATCAGCTGAGCATCACTTTACCTGAGTGAAAGCCATCCCTGGCACCTTTTCTTTTCTCTTCTTTCTCCTCCTTCTGGTTTCTTCCTTGGGTAACATGAGTACTTAGAAGTTAATCCTGAATGCCAAAAGAATACAGTTAAGTACATTATACGCATGCATGACGATGTCATAATAAAACTCTTCAGTTTATGCAATTAAAAAAAAAAAGCAAAGACTGAGCATGGCGTCAAGTACCTATAATCCTAGCACTTGGGGCAGAGAAGCATCATGAATTTGAGGCCAGCCTGAGCTACATACTGATTTCTAGGCCAACCAGAAATAGTGAAACTTTATTTCAAGGGTTAAAAAAAAAAATTATTTTTCAAATGCATATTGCTCAATACTCAGGATGAACACAACCACTTTTCTTTCCTTTTTGAGAAAGAGTTCCACTATGTAGCCAAGGCTGGCCTTGAACTTGTGATCCTCCTGCCTCAAGTGCTGAGATTATAGGTGTTTGTTAACCTGCCCAGCAACACACCCACTTCCTGTTCCACAGCTAAATGCACCAGGAAGGACCTCACCATGTAGAAAGACCAACCCATGCTGCTCACTGCACCTAGGGGATGTAGGTACAAGAAACTCCTGCAGGCCGGCCATCAGGAGACTTGACACTCTTCTGCTGACCCTGATCCCCTTCTCAGAAAGATCAGGAACACAAGGCCAACCTTGTACACTCTTGTACAAGAATGCATAAGCACACACATATATATATGCACAATAAAATAGATACAGGCAGATGTAGTTAGCTAAGTCCTACAATTATAAAGTCACCCTAGTTGACATGTTGAAGATTTGGGGCTAGAGCACTGGGGAAAGCATCTATGTGGAATGTTCATATGCTTCCTTTGTGTTATTATTTATAATAGGCAAACCTAAAGCAAGTGTTTCCCTGAGCATTGTGAGCTTAGCTAGCAAACTAATAATTCTTGAGCACCAGTTGATGAGAAATTCTAGTCACGACATGGGGATGGGAACAAAAATGGGGCAGTAGTGTGATCCCAGTTGTCAATCTGTGGCATCTAAGGCTATGTTCTGGCAGTGAACACTAGATCTGAATTAAACTACAGAATACTAAATTGGTGTCAGAGAGAGCTGAGAGAGAGAGCAAAACCGGCATACATTTAGGGTAGGTGACCAGAGGCAATGAACACACTGTATGCTAACTGTTCAATGTTTTAAGTGTTAGAGGGGGTAAAAAAATCCACCACTCTGCCACCCCAGGCAAACAGAAGGGTGACCCTGTCTAAATGAATCACATTACTGGGTTCTGGCTGAACAAAGACTATCAAGGGACGTTATCCTCTAACCTCAATAGTATTTATTTATTTAGAAGTGTCTAGCTATCTATTCCAGATTGGCCTACACTCTCCATGTTCCTGCATCAGCCTCCCTCCAAATGCTGGCATTACAGGTACGTAGCACTATGCCCAGCATAATCCCGGCACTTTACATTGCATGTGCCTGGTAGACGACAAGTTTTGCAATCTCCTTCTGCATCAGCATAATTTAAACAAAATTTAAGCTTGTTGAATTATAAAGACAGCTTGCGGTAATTATAAATCCCACAGCCTGCGTTATCCAGTCACCGCATCTCTCTTCTGGCCTTCCCTTCCCTTTCTTGATTTCGGTTTCTGTCCCTCACTCTGCGCTATCTCGCTCTCACCTTCTATTTCCGACTTTCTTTTTTTTCCCTGGGTTTCTGCTCATGTTCTTTCCTCCCCTTCCTGCTGTCTGTCCTTTCCTTGCCTCTGTTCCTTCTCTTCCATCTGTTCTTCCCATTCTTCCAACTAGCTTCACCTCTGGCTGCTCTTCCCTGGTCTTTTCTTCCCTGGCTCGCGATCTCCTTCTCCATCAAAGCCTCCGTGGCCTTGCCTTCTGCACCCTTCTAAGTCTGCACCTCACCTCCCTAGCGCGGGATCACCTTGCTCAGTCAGCTGTATGGACCAATCATTTCTCCTCTCCCTCTCAATGTGTTTGCTCTTCCACCTCGCTGCTTCCACTCTGCAAATCCCCGGTCACACTGGGGGTCGGGTCTCTCTCGTTTTCCCACTTTCCGGTTCCCACTAAGCCCCAGGCACTCCCGACTCTTTCTGCTGTGGGCAGGGTGCACGCTCCCCTGGGGTGGAGGGAGAGGCCTAGGGACCCTGCGGCGGCCCTGCCAGCAAAGGCAGCCAGCAGTGGGGCCAGACCCGAGGCCTCCGGCTCGGCTGTGCGGGATCCCCGTCAGGGCGCGGCCTCTCCGGCGGCTCCGACCCCCGCCCGGCGCCCCAGAGTGGCTAGGCCGGCGGGGACCCGAGGAGCGGAAGGGCCAGCCAGAGAGGACGCGGACCACGGAAAGCAGTCCTGAGGGAAACTCACGCGCCGCACCGCGCCCCGACCTTCACGTTACCGTACGGCTTCCGGGTCAGGGCGGAATGCGAGTGGAGTGGAAAGGAAGAGCCAGAGACGCCCGGGACCCACGAGAAAGAGGCGGGACGAGGGGAAAAACCCCGCGTGCTCCGGAACCCAGCAGGGGAAGACCCGAGATCGAGGCCCGGCGTGGGCTGTGACGCGAGGAAGTAGGCGGGGCCTGAGAGGAGGAAGGCGTGCCTAAGATGTGACGTGTGGAGGGGGCGGGGCCTGAGAAGAGGGGGAGGATGGGCCTGGGCTGTGACAAAGCGGGTGGGCGGGGCCTGGGAAGAGGAGGAGGACGGGCCTGGGCTGTGGCAGGAGAGGGTGGGCGGGGCCTGCGAAGAGGAGGAGGACGGGCCTGAGCTGTGACATGAGAGCCTGGGCGGGTCCTGGGCTGTGTCAAGAGGGTGAGCTGGGCTGGAAAGAAGCCGCCTGGGCGGTAATGCCAGCTGGTGGGCTGGGAGGGGAGTTGGCAAAGAGGTCCTGGGAAGAAGAGGAGGCTGAGTCCAGGCGGGAATGCGAGCTGGTGGGCGGGAACTCGGAAGAAGCGGTGGGACTTGGACGGGGAATGCGAGCCCGCGGGATGAGCCTAAGCTGAAAGGGTCTGGCTGGGAGCTGATGCAGGCGGGAGGGCAGGAGTGGATCCTTAGGGTCTGGATGAATGGCGGCCGGCTTCAGTGGGAATCACTGGGCAGGGTGGAGGATGCTTCCAGCCCTGGCTGGTCTGGCTGTGGAGGATTTTTCAAGATGTTGAGACAACTAAGTTGTCTCTAACAACTCTTAAATCTCCCTTGACTTAATGGTCTAGTGCCCCTCTTTTCGTGTAATCACACATAAAATTTTTTTATCTTTCTTTTGGAAAGTAGACATTTAAAGTCTTAGCCCTTCAAAAGAAATCATACGTGCAAGGTAATAGAAAATGCCAGTGTGTTTGAATAGGGCATGGGAAGTTGCACAAAAAAGGAAATTCCACTTCAGGAACATCCCCACCAAGTACAATGATAGCCTGCACCATAAAGACAATGTGCAATGTCTTTGCTTACTCAGATGTAGCATCTTTAAATCAGTAGTCCTCTTTCCCACCCTGGAGGCATCCTTAGACAGCTATAGTGAAGTTGGCTGATCAAAGGTAGGCAATGTAGCATTCTTACCAACAGTGAACAGCTGTAAGAGACACAAATACCCTCACTAAAAGCCTGCTGTGATAGGATCTAAAAACTCTATTTACTAACACAAAACACCTCCAGGACATATGGCATGTAAATATTTAAATCTGAGAATACAATCTTACAACAAAACACTCACTACAGAACATTTTCCAAAATACCTTTATAATAAATACAGTTTGAACATGCTCAATCCAAAAACTAAAAAGCTAATCTGAGCCATTCTGAAAGCTGACCTGATGCCTCAGTGGGAAAGTTCTGCTTCTGAGCTCAGATAATGAAGTAAAAATGCAAATGCACTAAAATAGTGTGTAAAATACTTTCAAATTGTATGTAAAATTGCACTTGAAACAGATTCCATGTTTAAACTTGAATCTCATCCCTGAATATGTCATGTGCATGAAAATATTTTATCCCCACAAAATCCTAAATCCAAAGCTTTTAGCCTCAAGCATTTTGTATGAGGATACTAAATCTGTATATGAGTGTATTTTTTGCAAGACTAACACTGAAGAAAACAATATTCTCTGAAGTACACAGTGAGAGGCAGTGGACACTGTGTCAGAGAGGAAGATGAGTCTCTTCCTAATCTGCATACTGCATCACTGTGTGATTTGCCAAACCAAGAAAGCCATCTTTAATGTTTAATGAAAAGAAATGTAATATTAAGAAGAAGCATAATAAGAACTCAGCTCTCAATCTCTAATGGAAGAAAAATCTGATCCTGTGTTTGAAGGATTTCCATTTTCATCTATTGACCTGTTACACTAGAGTTCCTAAATAAACAACAGCATCTTTCTGCAATGTATGCACCTTGAATAAAGATTTTCCAAGGAAAGGGTTCCATTATCTTAAAGTCAGTTATAAAAGAAAACACCTTGCTTATCACTAATTTCTCCTTAGCTCCCCATTCTCTTCCTGATTAGTAACATTTTGGAGAAGGAAACACACTCATGTAATTGTTCAACCTCAAGTACATTATAAAACCAAACAGAACAAATTTTGCTTCTCAATGATCTTTTCTAGTTCTTCAGTTGTTTGTGCCTATAACAAACCACATTTGTATGCAATTTCTTTCATGCTACTTTATAAAGAACTACAAGAGCATCCAGATAGCTTCTCAAAACAATCCCCCCTCCCTGCCCCCAGCCTCACTGTCACTGTGGAATCCACTACCTGTCTCCAGTCTATTCTGAAGCAAAAGTCCCTCCCCTGGGGCCATAGTCCAAAGAGTGCCTCTTTCTGTGTTCCCTGTCATTAAGTCACAATGAAATGGAACCACAGTGAAGGTGAGAGAACACTGAGGGATGGCTCTGGATGTGTTTATAGAACACTGCAGTTCCAGAAATTAGCAGGTGTGTTTTGTCCAGTTAGAGTTTAGGGCCAGGAAAAGATACAACAAAACTGCAGTTTTGCTCAGTGAAGAGAAGGGGGAAGAGAAGAACGAGCAGCTGAGAGATAAGCATATTTCTTGTCTCTGAGCCTTTGACCTTGCCTCTTTCCTGATGGCATTCATAATTGATGGAGGACTAAGTGTCTTAAATTATAACTGAGAATCCTCCCTTAAGATAACCACATACAAACCCAATTTTGAAATATTTTAGGTATCTACCTGCTGAGACGCAGAATTCTTGGTCTATTCCGTATTTCAGGTGGACATACTAAGGTTCAGAGGGCAAAAATCATTTTACTAAGATACCCCAAACAGGTCTCAGTTGAGCAAGAACTCAATGTAACAATTCTGAAAAGGTACATTGGATCAGAATTGGGAAGGGTCTTTATTCCAGATTGCCTTCATGTCCCTGAATAAGAGAAGCTTTAATTTTGTGGCTTTACTCAAGAACGTTTCCTTCCCAGAAAATATATTTTAAAATATAAAAATTTTTACAAAGATACTTGTGAGACTCCTGGATAAATGGGTCAAACTGTGCAGATCATTTGCGAGCCATCTATTATGAATGATGAGCTCTGTCTAAAGAATATTTCACAGTAATTGAACTCACTCTTCCACATCTGCACAGGAGGTCACAGAGGACCAGAAGAGAATACCTACTTAGTTGGAGACAGTAGAGATCAGGCTGTGCCCTGCCATAATTTATTCCATATTGTGTGAAATTCTTTCTTCAGGCTGTGCCTTGCCCTGACAGACTCCATTTTGCAAGCAGGTTTGACTCTGTGGAAAATGTAAAAGAAAGGTACTATCTTTTCTATCAAAGTGTTAAATAAGACAAAACTTCATGTGAAAAAAATAGCAAAAGTCACAATGGCAGAAATATAAATTCCTCCAAGTTCTATACTTCTTGAAATCAAATATATGTTTCAAGGTTTCAATCACTGCTGAAAATTGCATTCTTATCAGCTGCCTCTCTTTGAGTTATACAGTTGCATAGGAATGTGAGGCTGAGCTGTGACTACATACAGTGAGGCCCAGAACCCCTTTGTGCTAGGAATAAAAACCCAGCGGGACCTCCTCTGTGTGTACTGGCTTGCAGGACTTAGAGCAATTAAGTGCCATTCTGAGAAAGAAAACTTTTTGCCTTGACAAAATATTTTGCATTGTGTGGTCATTTTCTTGAGAACCAAATGCATTTCTAACATGTCCATTTTGAGGTGGGAGGATGACTCTGCATGTCGGTGGACAATGAACAGTCATTTTGAACACATAAAAATCATCCACAGTCTGAGTAAAACAATGTAAACATACTGGAATGAATTGGGACAATAGGAACACATGGATGTATTAAATTCTTATCAGTGAAACCAGGACAAGAACATCTTGATCACACCAGACAAGGGCAAAAGCGCTGAACTAGACCTCATAAAGAGAACACCTAACATTATGATGGATGGCCTCTTACTCTTACATGTATGGTTTATACTCCAGAGGGCATCTGCTGAAACCTCCTAGTTCTGGTGTCTCAGAACAAAGAATGGGACCAGAAACACATGAACAGTCCTAGAAGCAGTTTATTTAAGAACAGAAAGGCAATCCTGAGATTGGAAGTGGGCTAGAAGCCTGGACAGGTCTGAAACTCAAAAAGCCCTAAACCACATGCCCTTTCTGGTCATTTATATAACTTTAAACTCCTGGAGATCTCACAGACTCTTCTTTTGAGTGCTCTGTTTTGTATATGCATTCCAAAGGAGCTAGGATGGGTCAGTCTTCCTCTGACCACTCACTTTTTTTCATACATTTTTCTTTCTCTACCTCTGTTGTCCTGTATACAGTCCTGTCATCTGATGACACAGACCTAGTGTGTGTATCAGTGGAGCCTCACAGAAAACCCTTGACTGTCTCCCAGAACTTCAATATGACTCAGTCTCCACTGTTGACTCAGTCTATGATGTCTGTCTGCCCATTTGTACCTGCCCGCCATTCGTCCTTCAATTCCTCCATCTGGACCTGGTCCTGCCTTTCACTTACATGCCCTCTACAAGATTAAACTCTGAAATCACATACTAAGCATTACTCATT